GATGGAGAATGTTATTATTGCAAAGCAACATGAGCATGGACACCAATTTTCTATTCACCTATTCAAATTCATACAAAGCCACCTGTTGCTAGTTGCTTAACCTGTTTATTGAATAACCTTTGTACCCTTTTATTAAATACACTAAAAAAATGAGGATTAAAACCTGTAAGATATAGACTTGTAGCAAGCTAAGGCTTTGATATCTCAGTCTGAAATTTATTTGACAAAAAACAAGTCCGAGGTAAATATCAGATGAGAAAGAAAAACATGAAACTTGTAGGTGATGTAAACTTACAACATTTTAACAAGACTTAACACTTGAAAAAACATACTGGTCTCAAGTTCAACATTTTTACATTAGACTTGATCAAACCTACTATTTATTTACTGATGAGAATATTTTAATCAGTTCATTTTGATACAAAGTAGACCAAAAAATTAAAGCTGACATATTGTCTATTATTTCTTGAAAAATCTAAGATTGAAATTAATATTTCTGAAATTTGACAACAATTTCCTATTCATAACGAAAAACCACAAGGGGTGTATTATGGTATCACTCACTTCTTTAATAACAAAGCACATAATGTTTCAACACAATTTACACATGTCATTTCATCTGATGACGACACGTGTAAATTATGTTGAAACGTTATGTTCTTTGTTATTAAAGAAGTGAGTGATACCATAATATACCCCTTGTGTTTTTTGTTATATCTACTCTCCACTTCTAAATGTTGTTCAAATCTAATTTCCTATTCTTTGATAACTGATTTATTAAACTGTGATAAACCTAGTTGGTCAGGGAGATCATCGTCTATAAACTGAAACTATGGTTTGATTGGTTTGATAGGTTTTAAAAAATTCTGATTCAACTCCTGAGAAATTTTGCAGAAATTTGGAAAACAGCCACCTAGTTCAAAACATTATTTTCAGTCAAAGATAATTCATTTTATATTTTGTATCGGTACAAATTTGTCCAACATATTAAGATGTCAAAGTGTGGTGTTAACAGCCCTCTAGACAATATCAAATACTTAATGTTTGATGGCCACCATTTCAACCAAACCTCAAGGCTATACAATACAGCTATCATATCTCTAATATTATCAGTGTTATGAATCAGTTAACACATTCTATATTATCAATACATGTAACAGAAGATAATATTGTTTATTGTTATCTTTTCTAAGTATCATATTTTCTATTACATAATACTCAAAATAATATGGTTAAAACTAACTACTCTATTCAACAATAGATAGGTGGTATAATATATTAGTAGGGCTAGGTATCAATTAACAAATTGAGATGACAGACAAGCAATCGATAATTGATTAATAATCAAAATGTTTTGATTAAAAAATCTCATAAACACTGAATAAAGATGCATGTCCAATCATTTGATTCCATGGGTTATTGTGTATATATGAATATTCATTGCTATGATAAGTTAGCGCTGTTTATTGTGCAGCAGCCGTGTCAGTTGGGGTACAGAGTGGGCATTTACCCTCCCCTAGAAAAAGTTTGTTTTTTCAAAAATTTCATCTCAGATGCTCCATGAGAGGCTTGCGACTTTGATGCCTCCACAGAGTTGCACCCATTTGTTCCCGTATTCTTGGATCTCTGACGTAGCCTCTGTAATTATGGGTTAGGTATGTGCTGAATGTGAAACTTAGTAGAAGAGATTAATATAGCCTAGTAGATGAACGACCTTACGACTTAAGTACACAGGAGAAAATGACATTTCGTAGATTATGAAATAATAATACTATATAATAAACTGCTTATTAAAAAGAATAATTTTTTGATAAAAATAAATTGGACTACTTGTGTTTTATTTTGAATCAAACTCAAATGTGAAAACATTTTTTAACTCGAGATACGTGATAAAGAAAGAAAGAAACAACTATATTTTACAAGGATAACAACTTACAAACATTAAACATTAAGAACACAAGAAATATAGATATACTACTTCTAGTTTTATTACATACTATGTTTCGGAACACATACAGGTAATGTTATTAAGTAAAATGATTAACGTTAATCATTTTACTTGATAAAGTTACTATATATCTTGTGTTCTAATAATAACAACTTCACAGTTCTATCAGCTGGTCCTTGGCCAACCTTCTTGACATTGAACTTTCCTGAATTATCCGTACCCATTTACAGCTGGGTGACTGGAATTATGAGTGAAGATGACTTACTCAAGATCATTGGACTATCAAGAATTGCTATTTGCTTTTAACCAACTGTGATATAGAACTTCACAAAATTGAAAATTAGTGAAATGTTCCTGTTTTATATTCAGCCACACAGTTTGAGACATACAGAAAGTAGAAAATGTTATAATTCACTGGTAAAACAATGCTCTAAAAACATATAGACTGACATAAAGAAAAAAAATTAAATTTAACTCGAATTATTGTTATTAGTATAAATTTTGTAAGATTGGAATCAGAAGTTATCTATTTTTAAACCCTTGAATATTGTCTGGATTTCTCTTTTTCTTCTCATATTTCTTATCTTCAATTTTTTATTTATAAAATATTTCAGAGAGTAATTGTAAACTTTAATATATGTACAGACTGAATTTTAGACATTGAGTTTGTTTTTCAATTCTCTTATACTTTATACAAAACTATTTTTCCTCAAGAGACAACTTACACAAACCAGGAAAAAACTGAGGTGATTTTTGTGTTGGTTTTATACCCAAACAAGCCTCATTGAAACCAAGTTCCTTTATTGATATGTAGATGGGACAGTGCTTCACTTTATCAAGCAGCTTCATATCATAGTGAATTTAACCAATCAAAACGACATTTTACATACATAGGGGTTGCCCATTCTTATTATAATGTTAACAAATTTCTCATCTTATCAATGGATGACGTAATTTGCGTCGTGAACCTGACAACGTATTCTGGAAACGATCTTAGCGCTAGGATGTCCTAGAATCAATGTTAGAAGATAAGAATATAGGACATCCTAGCGCTAAGATTGTTTCGACAATACGTGGCCTGGCTTTCAGACTCTCAAAAAGAGGCATGAATAATGTCTGTAAAATAGTGTTTCAGGTGTTGAAATTTGTAGTATAAGGTTATTGAGTATTATATAATATTGTATTAGGAATCATATAACCAGACATATTATAAAATATAATCAACATCATTCAACAATTAATAAGACATCTTCTACTCAGTTAAACTTATTTCATTTCTGATACAGAATGAGATCAAATTTATCAGCACGGTTGAGTGAAACCATTCATTAAACCAACTGACCATAAAATATCCTAAATATTACCAGTTTTATTATATCTATGGTATAGTTTATTCTTGGTAGAATATATATGATTTTACTGATCATAATTTGATAGGACCAGGAACTATATTTTAGAAAACTACAAATATGAGTATAATATCAGCTAATCATATAGATTGAAGTCTACAGACAGTAGCATTGCCATGAAGATATAACAGACTTCAAAGACAACAGGATTTTTGTCTCATAGAAAAAAGACCCTAGTTATGACCCTGCATGGACAGTAAATAATATACTGAAAGGAAAAGGAAATGTTATATGGACAATTGTAAAGGCTTGTTGACCAAAGAAAAATAATTTTTTTAACTAATTGCACTTGAAAGGGGCAATTTTTAGCTAAGCCAATCAGTAAATGTGTTCACAGTTCACTGTCAAAATTTTGTCCTTCAGATCCATGTGTGTTCATAATTATTTGCGTTTGAATGTTA